CTCTCATGTCATATTTCATCAGGGAATCTCATCTTCACAGACCTATGTACCTTTTATTCCTTCTATCTTCTAAAGCAAATTATTACCAAACCTTCTTTCAAATGATGTTATCTCTATTTTTTCACCTTCTACTGCAAATCCCCATGCAAAAACATTAAAACAGTACAGTATGTGAGCGCGTGTGATCCAACGGTGAAAAATCCAGTGAGGGCAGGATCGACTTTTCCCCCCCACAAAACCCTTGAGTGTCACTAAGGCAATGAATAAAGAGCAAGGCAAAACAATCTTTCAGTTTTGGCTCCACTCACAAGAAAAGGACTGCTTAAAGAGATAATGCATATTCCTGTAGCTTTCAGGATTCCTAACTAAAGAGTAAAGAATAAAGCAAACAACTCCTCAACTCATAAACAGATGGTGACAAAAATAACAAAGATGTAAATACAAATTTGTTCCCAGCTGTCTTTTAAGTTTTACAAATAACCCCAGCTAGAAGTATTTGCAAATTTTCCTAATTCGAAAGCAGAAGAGAAACAGGTATCTGTGGAATTAATTATCCTAATTCGAAAGCAAATCTGTTAAACGAAACGAGTCACTCATGAGTTCAGCTAGTTGATAAACAAGTTGAGCTCGAGCTCATTTAAAGCTTGTTGTGTAACGAACCGAGCTCACTAGGCTTGAAAAATACGGTTTTTTTTTTACGTCATTTCCTAAACTTTAGCATAATTCGGCTCGTTAAAGCTCAAGCTCGGCTCATTAAGGCTCGGTAACGGGCTGAGCCAACTCGATAAGGGGTCAAGCCCGAGCTCAAGAATCAAGACCTAGAGCTCAGCTCGGCCCGGCTCGTTTACAGCTCCATTTGAAAGTAATATGTTTTCAGTAATCTCGATAGACCTCAAAGTAGCTTTTTTGTAATTTATCCTATGAAGAACTAACGAAAATAAATTGAATTACTAGTTGCAATGCAGCAGCTCAATCCCTCAAGTCAGTCATTGAAGGGAATAAAGTCCAGTTAATTAATAGGTCTCCTCTTTCGATTTTGCAACTAACATCATGTGAAGACATTGTTGACTTAATTATTGATAAATATAATACTCTCTTTATCTTTTTTACATCCTATATCAAACTTTTAAGGTCCATCATATATGTGTTATGGAGGTCTGGAGCTGAATTAACTTTTGAAGAATACTACAAGTGCATTTGTACATAGAGGTGTACATAACACTCACATGGAGTGGGGTCCACTTGATTTTTTATTTTTGGTTGGACCCACTTAATGTTATGTACACCTCTATGTATAGTATTATGTACCTATAGCATTTCTCGTAACTTTTTTACTCCACTGTAATATAATCTGCTAAAAAGTTTCAAAGATCATATTATGGAAAAATGAAGGTCATTGCTGAAACCTGGAAACTTATATGTGCTAAGTCGATGTAAAATTATATTACTATTTATTACATACTAAAAATCAGCGAGAAATATACATTACTCAATTGTATAGGTAGCACAAAAATTGACTTACATGAACAATTTGAAAGAAAATCTTTCATCTTGATGTGATTTGCAAGCCAAGGGTAGTTACATGCGACATGGGCAGTTCATAATTAGTTGGTGATTTCTATTGCATAGATGGTTTTGTGCTATCTAGATTAGTACCCAAGTACTGGACCAGCACATTGTTGAATGCCTGTCACAAGAAAGAACCTCATAAGAAACTTATACAGTAAGTCCTCTGCTTATTGTTTTTGCTGCTCAAAACAAAACAGAGTGGATAATACAACGATGCACCAAATAACGGAATGGTGCATGCATAATTACGAATCAGCATAAGGGAAAAACGGAAAAAAAAAAAAA